CTAGGCTGCTGATCAACTGAACGCTGTATCCGTGTCATTCCTTCTTCGCCGACTCCGTCCACACCTTTGGGAACCCCTGGACCTGCTGGGGTTGGACCCCAACAGGACATAATTTATCCTTGAACTAGAAAAATCTCCTTTTATTTGGCAGGGGAAGAGGGATCAAGGCTTGGAAAGAACACTTGATTCCTTCCTAAAAGTTGTTTTCTGTGACGAATGCTTACTACACTTACCTTATAAAAGATGAATGCGTTTTGTGCACGTTTGAAATGATTCTATATGAAATAGTCATAAAGCCTTAATTTATGCACAAAATGTGGAGCCAGGGGAATCTAATAAAGTTAGCAATTCATTGAGAATCGCACACTTACAAGGCCGCGACTCTAAGTGCACGGTGCATCCTGTTTGTCCTGCTGGAAGGAGGCAGTGCCAAACCAGCTGCTGAAGAGATCTGCCCACCTCCTGGGTCTGAGTGATTTTCAGATTATGAACGTGGTGAATAACGGGAGCCAGGCAAACACTCCTGCTCTGGCATGTGGCAGCCCCACAGCCAAGTGTTCCAGAGAAGGGTCTCGTCCTCAGCTACTCTAAGAGCCTTCAGTGGCGTTTCATTACTTGGTGGTAGCGTCTCTGGTAAAGTCTTGTCCCACCTGTAAGTCATATTTATGAGCCAACTCTTTAACATGAAAGCAAAAAGAAAGGAAAAACGAAGAGGAAAACTATCTGCTGCCACCCAGCTTGTGATTCCATGCAAATTTTTTTTATTTTGGAATTTATTTGAACTAGACTTTTCTGAGCATTTGAATGGCATTTTGGTATTGTTTCTGGCTGCGAGTTAAAATTTATTCTGGCATTTAGTTGCTGCAATTTTACACAATGGGGATTGGCAATCAGGTGCTCTTAACAGGCTTATTTGGGGCATTTTAATCAAATTTTGAATGTTCAAGCAACCTCAATTTTGCTTGACAAGGCATCGAGGAAAATGTACTCATTTCCGCTCTCTAGTTCCCATGACAGTGTCTTTTGTGTAGTGGGTGTTACACGGCCATAGCCTCAATTTGCCTGTAGGATGCATCCACCACGTCTTGTTAAAAACTAATCAGGCTTGGTTTCACAGCGATCTTCACAAATGTAGGAACCGACGTTGCATCCCTTCTCCCCGCTACAGTAAACTATCTGGTAGTCCGATTATCCCAACTTCCCTTTCATTTTCCAGAAGGAACTCATCGACCTTGAAGTAATCCTCAGCACAACCGCCAGCTGCCCATTGCCTGGCTGCAGGGTCCTATCTGACCCGTACTGAATTGTGGTTGTTCCAAGTTGAAACAATAAGTCTGTCTTAGGATCTGTCACAGGAGGTGTCACTGCCTTGGGTATCTTGGTCCTTTATTACCAGTGGTTTTGATCGGGGATCTAGAACGGTTCAGAAATCTGGGGAAGGCACTGTGGGTAAATTAAATAAGAGTCCAGAGACGAAACATATAATTTTGGAAGGCATTATAGTGAATCAGAGAAGACTTAACTAAAGAAACTAAGTTCTCCTCGTCTCAAGACCCCTTGCTTTTTATTAACACAATTTGTCTCAAGGCAAGGCAGAGATATACACATCAAAGGGTAGGGTTTCTGTATACACAGACCATTGTCAGATTATCAGGTTTTGGAGAAACTGCCTTTGGCTGTTCAGGTGTTTGGCCAGTAGGAGGCAAGAATATGTAGATTAAGATGCCCTGAGCTGTCTGGCAGCAAGCAATCATCCCTTTTCAGGTTTGGGGAAATGCCCTCAGCCATTCCCAACAGGTGGCAACATATGTAAGACTCAGCCCTTGTTGAGTCCCCAAGTTCCATCAACCTTTTGATGAAATTCTTGCAATTATGACATGCTGGAATTGGCTTCTGGCACTTTTTATTCATATATATAT